GGACTCTGATAAAGCCAGGGCACGATGAATCATTTGCACTTGGCACCTGATCTCCCTGGTGTCTTCAGTTTTGTTTTAGCTTGGCAGCATTATGGGGAGAATTAGCCTATCTCACTAATATTTTAATGTATATATAATTTGAATGCTGCATTCCTAAAATCAATATTCATTATTCAAGGTGATAGCAGAGCTAAAATTAGTCCTTTAGCTGTATCAAGAATATCAGGATGATCATATGATATTAGGATTAGCAACCTCATGAAGATATATGTCTTCATACACGTGGGTAGGGCAGAAGGGCACGGTGCTAAGCTGCATGGCAGTGCACCCTCGGCATCGTTCCTGCTGCCTCTCCAGGGAGCCAGATCCCGCCCTGCCTCTGCCAGTCCTGGTGAGCCACCTGAATTACGCCAGAGTTAAGCCACAGTGGCAGATGAGGTGATCTGGGGCGGTGTGCCAGGGGGACACAGGGATGGGGGCGTGGGGGGGTGTTTTTATTTTTCTGCCCAGGGCCTTCAGACCTGACCCGGGAGGTGGGGATTTGAAATCCTCAGTTAACACACTGTGACAGCAGAGCAGGCTGTGTGCTAGGATGGAGTGGTTTTCTCCCTTATTTTCCTTCCTTCTCTTGCTGATTTGCAGCCAAGCCCCTCCATTAGCCCCTTGGCCACTGACATGCGTTAGCAAGGGGTGGGATTTTTGGAGAACTCCTGTGCATTCTCCATTTGCTTTGATTACGCATGGCCACACATGCGCTAGTCCAGAGCTGTGTGCGTGCCCTGGTGCTGGAGATAACGCCGGAGAATCGTTTTTCTCATACGAGCTTACACGAGAGGAGAAAGGTGGAGATCTTTTACGCGCTAGTCAAGAACTGGTGTGTTACTAATTGCTGTAATAGAAAATATTATCCCTCAGAGGATGTTGTTATTTTATAAACAAGGGGATAATTTACAGCTCAATTACTTAAATCATGAGTTAATTGCTAAGCGTAATGAATAAATGCATTTGCAAGTACAACGTTTAATTTGCACAGATTCCAGTAGTCTAGGCATTAAGAGGCAGATCATTATTTGATAAGTAATCTGGAATGTTGTATGAAATGACATTTATTTTCACATGTAATCCAAATGATGAAATGTCCTGAAATGAGATTTCAAGGGCCTTGTCCTTCCTTGCCTGCAACGAAGGACGGTGTTTTCATCAGCTGCCTTAGAAATGCGTTCAGGCTGTCTGGGAGCACAGGGGAAGGCAGGAATCCTCCAGGAGTGACATAGAGAGCAGAGTAGCAAACCTAGGTTCATGCAGGTGCAATTCTGCAATACTACAAAATGCAGAGAGAATATAGAGACAAAAATCGAGGACAACTGTGGTGGGCTGGGAGGCTTCACATCAGTGTTAGCTGATGGCAGGACGACTGCGGGGCTGTGAAAAACACAGGTAGGACCCGAGGAGGTGAGTGGGGAGTACTTCTGGCGACAAAAAGGAGGTGTTACTGCCACGGCCTGAGCACCAGCGAGGCCTCGGCTCTGTGCAAGGATGCAGACAGAAGCAGCAGCAAATAAACCCAGCAAAGGGGTTTTTTGCAGCCCACTGCTGTCCGTGCCTGCCCGACGGCCTCTGCTCGTTCTGCAGGAGGCTGCAGGACTTCGGAGGCTGCGGGACTGTGCGCCCGTCGCAGGCAGGTCCCGTTCTGTGGGACGTGAGGAGCCCTGCCTGCTGCCTGCCCGCTGCTGCGCTGGCTGCCGGAGCTGGGGCTGGCTGCCGCTGCCAGGAGCAAGAGGCCCTGCAAACAGCAGGCACCTGCACTTCAGTTGCTGCTATTGAATAATCTTGGGCTACTGGTGCCCTTTTGCAGGCTCATATCTTTATTGGAGGCTGTTAAAGCCAAACCTCCCAACAGCAATAACATGACTACAAAGCATTTCTAAGAAAAAAGTACGTGGGAATAAGGGAGATACTGAGATCCCAGCCAATTTCAGTACAATACAAGTCTGAAGTATCCTTATAAAGTTAACAAGTCAAATTTAAATGTATACAAGGCTCAGGAGCATACAGGAAACTGGATCAGCCAAACCTTCAAAGGCACATCATTGTCTTTCAGAAAGTCCACTGAAAGGCTCGTGCCATAAAGAAGGTGTATTCACATGACTGATACAGTGATAAACCTGGTGGAGAAATGCCAGCAGCCAGAGTGGGCAGGGATGCTTGCTGCAGGGATGTTACAGCGGTCCAGTCCATTCTTACAGAGCACTTTGTCCTGCTCTCTCTGCTGCTGCCCCACAATAAAATGGGGTTCTTCTGGTGTAAATGTGGGGAGAGTTTGGCAGGTGTTTTCCTCTGTGGCAAGCAGCAACCCTTGCCCCTGGCTTTACGATAGGCGAGCCAGCCTTTGCCATCCTGCTGCTGGAGAGAGGCAAGAAAATAATGCTCATGCCTTGCCCAGCACCGTCTCCATCACACTCCTGAGCAGCACAAGCCACAGCCAGGAATGCAGCACATGGCGGTGGCTTCCCTGTCCCCTGTGACATAAGCACCCTTGGATGCCACAGGCAGGAGAGGACGAGGAAGGAGCTAGAAGAGGCTGCTTGTGCTGTACGCCCAGGAGCTTGTCCCTGCTTTCTCCTGGGAGCTGAAGGCACCTGTGGATTTGGAGCATGTCTGCTGTAGGCACCTGGAGAACAGGAAGGGGAGCTGGAAGGGACCGCGTGGAGCGTTGCCATGTGGAAACTGTGCCAAAAGGTCCCAAGCCTGCCCCTATTTAACTCCCTTAAGTACCAGATTATAGCCAAATGTGCTCATGAAATGCCAGAGACCCAGAGCTCATTCAGCCTGCCTGGGTGGTGTCAGCATGGCCAGCTTACCACGCCTGATCTTTCCTTCTCCTGTGTGTTATTTGTGGGTAGCAGGCTATAGTCTGCCTTCATCATGTGCTGTTGTGTGTTTGTACATTTTACCCATCTGTTCAAAAACAAGAAGCAATGCCACATGACTTAAGCAACCAGCCACGCTCTCTAAATAGCAAAGCATCCAAGCAAGCTAGATTGCAAACCATCCAAAGGCTGCAATAGAATGGCAGAAAAGTGTCAGGAAAATGCCCTGCCACAAAAAGAAAAATCAAGGTCATTTCATGGCTTGTTTGTGAGTGGGAAGCAAAACCAGCCCAACTTGGTGCCTCTGAAGGGGCCAGCAGATCTGGGATGTGTGTTGCAGGACCTGGCGTGCAGGAATTCATGAACCATAAGGCCTTGTCAAAAATAATTTTTAAATGAAATGCAGTGTCCTAGCAAAACACATGCCTCAGACATAAAACAAAACCAAAGTACAAAATGTGGCGTTTAAAAGCTGGATTCTGTCTCAAGTGAATAGAAGCCACATGCACGCATCTGAGATCAGATTTTGGCCTGATTTGAAACTGTGCTTGCAGAGACTGCAGCGAGAGCAGGCAGAAGAAGGCTCCAGCTCCTTTTACGATCCTCTAGACGAGACCAGCCTTTCTGTGCTTCCCCGAGAGCGAAAAGGTTTCTGACACCAGCCCCTGTGTGTGTTAGCTCGCCAGCTGCAGGATGGAGGGTCCGGGGGCTGCACTGGGCAGCACAGCAGCTCAGCTGCCTGCTCCACACCACGTGCAGGCAGCAGCAAGGATGCTTCCACCTGCCTGAAAGCCAAGTCCAAACCTGCACCTCTGTGCCTGTACTGCCCAGGGCGGATTTGGGGCTGGTGAGCTCCCAGCGACGCCACTGTGCACGGAGTGTCCTGCAAAAGTGCCGGTACCAAGGCTTAACCTTTATTAATTGGGGAGAGGAAGAAATAATGCTGGCAAAATATTGTCAAATACTTCAAATTAATGATTAATTCTAGATGGAGTGATACTGTTTGATGTGGTCTTTGCTGGTTTAAACAGGAGAAGGGTGATTCACTCTAAAGGAATTTATAAAAACACAAGTATTTGCTCATGGACAATAAATACTGGGGCAGATAAAAAGGGGGATGAAGTGTTCGGCGTCATGATAGCAACTCCGCTTGAGAAAACTTTTGACCTTCTCACATCTTAAATCAATGCACCCCCACCTCGCCCTCCTCCAGGCCTGCCCTTGAGGCCAAGGGGACAGGTACGTGGGAGCACGCCGGGCTCCCCGCGGGCTGCATTGCCAGCCAGTCTCTGCCGTCTCCCTCCTGTCCCCGCAGAGAGGCTCGGGCACCCGCTGATGCCTGGCCAGGGGCACGGGGCAGCACCCGACAGCAGTTTACACAATCTGTGTACACAGCGTAATCTGTCAATTTGCCTGTTGTAAATGTAAGCGTATAAATCCGGCGCTGAAGCTGCTGCGGTTTGCAGAGCTGCCCCGCCTGGGAAGCTGAGATTTACACTACCCGCTAGCGAGTGAGGCGTCCCATCCTGTCCTGTCCCATCCCCTCCTGTCGTGGGCAGGCGGGATGCCCGGGAGAGATGGCTGCAGGCAGCAGAGAGCCCATTAATAACCCAGACAGAGCTGCAGCAGAGGCGCCGGCAGCACTACGCGTGCCCCATGGCACCTGACAGCCGTCGGATGTGTACCTGAAGGAGGGATCTTGCTATCTACCTTTCCCATGGGAATACGATGCAGCCAGGATAACCCCCGGACCTCGCTGGGGCTCTGCCAGTGCCATTAAAGTGTTGTCGTCCGCTGATTACCCTGACACGATGCTGGTTTTATTGAGACGAGATTAGCCACTTGCCGGGCACACACCGTCACCAGCTGTCCCCTGCCAGGAAGGGCTCCGGAGCCTCTTTTCACTCCGGGCTTTTTTCTTTGCAAAAATCTATCTGTTTTTGCCCTAAAAATAACAGCGTGGGGGTGAGTGTGGGGAGCGGACGGGGCAAAGTCCCTGAGCTGGTGTCCCGCCTTGCCACAGCTGCCGCGGGGTGGCCGACGGCACGGGGTGGCCCCGGTCACAGCACCCGGCGGAGTGGGGCTGACGGAGCGGAGCCGGCGTTACCCATGGAGGGGCTGAGCTCCTACCTGCGGCCGTTCCCGCGGCATCGCCTCACAGGCTGTCAGCGAGCCTTTCATCACAGACCCTACTGACATCATCCTTTCCAAAACACCTGAGCTCCTCGTGGTCCCTGCGCTCATAACACTTGGAAGTGACAGCAGCTTCTGGTTTCAATTAACCCAGGGGCAGTTTGGGGACTATCTGATTGCACAGGAGTGGAGGGGAGAGGAGAAAAGGCCTTGCCGAGCAGCGGCGATGGAGTGTGGGGGTGAGGAACTTCTGAAAAAAGCAGATGGTTTCTCTCTTTCCTTTCTCCTTCTTTTCCTCAGTTTTTTTTCCTGAATTCTGTGGAACAGACAACCCAACAGCACATTTTTCACCATCAAAGCTTTGCTGAAGAGAATTCTCCACTGCTATTTCATTTCTTCCTGATGTTCACAGGTCGTAAAGCAAACGGCCTCTGGAGCACAGGGAGAGCAGATCTGTCCCGGGGTCACAGCAGAGGACTGCCCAGCACCCTTGGTGCACAACAGCCTTTTCCCGGTGGTTGGCAGCCAGGGGAAGCGCACACGCATCTGCCTTTGGATGCTGGGTACCAAATGTGGCACCACAGCCGGCCACTGCCGACACGGGAATCTGGGACATGCAGAGGTTTGCAGATGTCCGTGACCTCCACCTTTGACATCTGCACAAGGATAACAGCCATGAGCAGAGACTGCTTGCAGCACGGGAAAGCAGGCACCAAAGTCCCCAGGCTGGCCCTGCTAACTAGGTTTGCTGCCGTCCTGCGAGGAGACACACTCGCAGGTCAGCAAAGGCAGGTCCCACCTGGAGCCTTCCTCTGGCAGCCTTCCCATGGTTATGCGGCGGCCAGGGATCCCAAATCTTGTGTCTGTGGGAGGTATAGGGAGGGAGGAAGCCATAATCCCATGAAATCCCATCCCGCAGTGTGCCAGTCCCTTAAATTACTCTCAGTCGTGTGCAACATAACATGTTCAATACCTTTTGGAAGAAAGGTAATTGAAGGAGGAGGTGTAAATGGAAAGTAAGTTTGAAGGGCAGACAGGGCTAGAGAGTTCTGTCATGCTAATCTGAGATCTGCTTTTTTAAGACACCATTTTTAGTCCTGGCAACGCTAGCTGATTGCTGCCCCCTGCAATGCATGGCAGGGCTGGCCACACCATGGGAAGATGCTCTTTGAAAAGGAGCAGTGAGAATTCAGCCGAGGAGCTGCAGTACAGGGAGGGACGGCGTTGAGGGATGGTGGCCAGTTTTGCTTGGAGGGCTGGGGGAGGACACTGGTGGCTCTGGTCTTCACCAGTGACTTGGACACGAAAAGGAAGCATTTGCTTGCAAAATGTGCTTCCCTAGCCAGGAAAGTGAGATGTGGAGGCCGGCGTGGGGCCGGGAGCCGCTGCCCAGTCCCCCGGGGCTGCCTGCGAGGGCGGGCGGCCAGACAACGTGCTTGCTACACGCGTGCGGCCGAGTGAGAGGAAGAAAACTGCAGAAGGGAACGACAAAACTGCCAGGAAGACAAATGGGGCTGAAATGATCACTGGGACCGGGAGGGTCTGGAGCAACTCCCAGCAGGAGCGGCAGCAGCCAGAAAATAACCTCATCGCTCGCTGGAGCCTGAGCCACACATGAGAGGGACGAGCTGGCGTGGGCCGGCGAGGGCCAGGCATCCCCTGCACCACCGCTCCCGCAGGAGCACAAGCTCGCTCCTCGCCGCGAGCCTGCGGAGGAGGCACTGGAGGCAGAGGCGAGGAGCAGCCAGCCCTGCAGGGTTTGTCACCGGGTACGTGTCGAGCTTGTCACCTCTGACATCAGCTCTATGCCTTGAAGATATCCCTTGCCTAAGGAAAAGCCACTTACAGGCTCCATACCCTGAATGGTGAACGGCAGCGACCCTGGACTGGGATGCGGGTTGCACCGAAGGGATGGTGCGCAGCGATGCCACCCCATGCCGTGATGCTGCCAGTAGTACAGAGCTGCAGCTCTGAGCTTCGTCCATCCCCACGTCCCAGCGGTCCAGGGAGCTGCTGACCCAAACGTGGCAGTTTTGGGCGAAAGCAGGCTATCTGTCAAGGTGCTTCAGCCCCGCTTCCCACGTGCCGTGGGGATGCCTGGTGAGGATGAGCCACTCACCTCCTCCCCACCTGCACCCTGGGGACCCATCCAGCCCCGCCACCGAACCGGGAGCGGGGGCAGCGTGGTGAGGACGGCCATGGGGCTCGCCGGCAGCCCGGCACAGCCTGACAGGGCCTGGAGCCAGCCCAGCCAAAGAGTTGATGGTTTTCACACCCCGTCAGCCTGATGAACGGCCCCGCTCCCTCGGCACTCAGCGCCTGCAAGGGTCAATTACAGCGATGACTTCAAGGAGTCAAACCGGCTGCCGGCAGCGCTGGAGAAAATCTTTGTTTCGGGTTCGGCTCTGTCACGGGAAGGAAAGAAGTGCCTGGGTGTGCAGCAGGGGGTGAAAGGAGCCTCTGCTGTGCATGGGGCAAAAGTCAGGGGGTGTCTGGGAGGGAGGAGGGCTCCCCCTGAGCCAGCTGCCCTGTTCTGCTAGTGTGACTCTGAGCAGCAGTCAGGGCTTGTGCAGCCCCCAGCCCTCCCAGTGCATCAAAAAGGGCCTAAAAGCAGCCCAGTGGTTGTAGGGAGAAGCTAACAAGGCAGAGCGAGCCTTCAGAAGTGGACGTGGTGCTGTAACATGAGAAACAGAAAAGAGCAAAACCCTGGCAAGTTAAAAGTAAAGTCACAATAAAGGTGATTTAAAGTTTGGGGAAGGACTTGCTAAAAGTATTAAAAGCTGAAAATAAGCCTGTTTGCATACGTGCCAGGAGCAGGAAACCAGTCAGTGAGCCAGCGCAGGTCGTGGATGATGGAGGCACGAACAGAGCACCCAGGAAAGGCAAAGCCTCAGCAGAAAAGCTGAGGGGCCGTTTGAAGATCAGGGAGGGTGCTCAGGTAGTGCCCCCATGTCAGCCTTCCTCTGGGGCTGTGCCGGGGGGGGCCTGTCCCATGGCAGGGGCCTGCCAGAGATGTCTTCCAGCAAAGTGAGGAGCTGCAGAGTGGCATGTGTCTGGGATGAGGCCATGCCAGGCCAGCCAGTGTCAGTACCCTGCTGCTCCTGCCAGCCTGGGGCAGAGAGTGGGGAAGACGACATGAGCTGTAGCCAGAGGGGCTCAGGGGATGTCACAGGCAATTTGGGAGAAGTCCTCTATAACAGTCTGGGTCAATACAGCGCTTGGGGAAGATTCAGCACAACCTTGCAGGAGGAAGCCATACCTTGCAAATCAGCCAGGTCACCAAGCGTGGGGAGCAGAGCAATGCGCTGGTCATGGGGCAGTGGCACTTCCAAAACAGTTTTGCCCTGGCACCTCTCCAAAAGCCCCTGAATGCCCAATGGACTGGAGGGATATTTGCCTTGCAGGGGGAAAACTGGTTAACTGACTTGGGGTCACCAAATATAAAGCTGGCTGCTGAGCAGGAGCTCACAGTATTAAACTTCAGGCTGGTAAACTGGCAGATGAAATTCAGTATGATAAAGGCAAAGCAACAACCCACAGAAAAACAGCCCTAACTAGCCATGCAAAACACTGACCTCCTCTTCAGCGATGCTGGGTGTGAGTCAGAACAGCAAGAATAAGGCACGATTATGAAAGGAGGAAAGAACAACTAAATAGATCCTCCTCTTGAGTACTATGTGCAGCTCTTTTTTCTCAAGAAAGATGTAATGGGAATAAAGGAGTATGAAGAAAGGCCTTAAGGATGCTTGGGAGTAGACTTTCGAGGCATGGTGAGGAAAGATCAGGGAAGATCAGATGTCCAGGTTGCATAAGCTTGGAAAAGCTGAAGGGAGATGATAAAGGTCCCAGGAGCCAGAGTGGCAGGTGGAGGGAGACCTGGCATCAAACTAGGAACAGTGAAATCACGTTGAGAACAAGTCCAAAACGAACAGGAGGAAGCCCTTGCCTTCACCAGGCACTGCTCAGCTGTGAAACCCTCTGCCACAGGCTGTTGTGGCAGCCAAAAGCGCACAAGGTGGGGAAAGCTGTGCCCACTGATGCTCTGAGTCAGCCAGACACACCAACTGCAGCAACTGCACACCCACCCCACTGCCCTGGTCCCCCACCAGCCCCGTACCTGCCACTGTCACAAGCGGCGTGCTGGGGGCTGCCACCACTCCCGCAGGAGCAGGAGTATTTTGGCACCTGGCGCGCTGTGACCTGGCCATCCTTGGCCTGGGAAAGGGGTGAAGGAACCAGAATACCAGACCGTAAGGCTGAGCTCAGCACACGGATGCACCTTCGGAGATGCAAAGAGGCTGTGGCCCTGTGCTTTGCTTCCCATGTGCCACGCTCTGGCTCTGAGCTGCTGGGCAGAAATCCTCCCCTGCCTGCCACTGCTGCCTCCGCTGCACAGTGCCTTCACCCCTCCCCGGCCTTTATGAGCAAGAATTGACCAAGATTTTCCCTGTCAGATTGAAAAATACCTTCAGTCAGGAAGAAAAAGAAGCTGAACCTGCCTCTGCGTCGCACCGGAGCTGTCCCAGGCATCTGGGCTGCAGGTGCTGGATGCACAGCCTGGTGCACCCGCAAGCAGAGCGAGGCAGCGGGACAGCAGGGCTCGGCTGTCAGGGCAGCGCAGGGATTTTGGCAAGCTGTTTTTTTCTGGTGCAAAGCCATTTGCTGCCTATAAGGCTGGCCAACCCCGCTCTGAACCCGGAGCACCGGCAGGAGAGCTCGGCATCCTCCGCAGCTCCGCACCAGCATCCAGTCCCCCAAAATGTCCAGCCGCGGGCAGCCCCCCCAGGCTCCTCCTGCCTGCA